CCAGCACGATGTTTTTCTCTAGGGACTGGCCCCTCATGATAACATGTCCAAAGTATGTGAGATGAAGTCTTGCCATTCTTGATTCTAAGGAGCATTCTGGCTGTATTTCTTCAAAGAGAGATTTGTTTGTTCTTTTGGTAGTCCATAGCATATTCAATATTCTTCGCCAACACCATAATTCAAAGGTGTCAATTTTCCTTTGGTCTTCCTTATTCATCGCTCAGCTTTCGCATGCATATGAGGTGACTGAAAAAACCATGGCTTGGGTCAGCCACACTGTCATGGATTGAACTGTGTCCCCTAAAAATGTCTGTCGGCTTGGCTGGGTCATGATTCCCAGTATTGTATGATTGTGTACCATTCTGTAAATCTGGTGTGATTTTCTTATGTGTTGTAAATTCTGTCACTGTGATGAGGTTATACTGATGACATCTACAAGACTGGATAGTGTCTTACGCCAACCTCTTTTGAGATATAAAAGAGAGAAGTGAGCAGAGATACATGGGAACCTCATACCACCAAGAAAGCAGTGTTGGGAGCAGAGCATGTCCTTTGGACCTGAGGTTCCTGCGCAGAGAAGCTCCTAGAACAATGGAAGATTGATGACACGGACCCTCCTCCAGAGCCAACAGAGAAAGCATCCCCTTGGAGCTGATGCCCTGAATTTGGACTTGTAGCCTACTGGACTGTGAGAGAATAAACGTCTCTTTGTTTAAAGCATCCACCTGTGATATTTCTGTTAGAGCAGCACTAGATGCCTAAGACACACACCTCAGTCTTCAAGGTAACATCTGTGTTTTCAACACTTTAAAGAGGTCTTTTGCAGATTTGCCCAATGCAATGCATAATGTGATTTCTTTACTGCTTCCATGGATGTTGATTGTGGATCCAAGTAAAATGAAATACTTGAATTTCAATCTTTTCTCCGTTTATCATGATGTTGCTTATTGGTCCAGTTGTATTTTTGTTTTCTTTATGTTAAGGTGTAATCCATACTGAAGGCTGTAGTCTTTGATCTTCATCAGTTAAGTGCTTCAAGTCCTCTTTCAGCAAGCAAAGTTGTATCATCTGCATATCATGGGTTGTTAAATTAAGTTTCCTCCAATCCTGGTTCCCCATTCTTCTTCATTACAGTCCAGCTTCTCAGATTATTTGCTCAGCGTACAGATTGAATAAGTATGGTGAAAGGATACAACCCTGACACAAACCTTTCCTGACTTTAAACCACAGGATATCCCCTTGTTCTGTTTGAAGGACTGCCTCTTGGTCTATGTACAGGTTCCTTATGGGCACAAATTAAGTGTTCTGGAATTCCCATTCTTTACAATGTTATCCATAATTTGTTATGATCCACACAGTTGAATGCCTTTGCAAAGTCAATGAAACACAGGTAAACATCTTTCTGGTATTC